CCCAGACCTCATGATTTAGCTTTTGCATCTCCCATCATCCGAGACAGGGGGCCGGCGGCAAAGGGCGAAGCCCTTACGGATATATATATATATATATATATATATATATATAATATACACACATACAAGTGGCACGTGTGTGTCCAGGCTCATACAAAAAAACTTACGGGGCGTTTGAAGCAGGAGTGAGATGCAACAGCGAAGTCGCACTCGAGCGCAAGTGGGGTTGTCACACCTTTCGATGTGTGTACCAGGGCCCTCCAGGAAGCCTCAGGAGGCCCGACTTGGATACTAGAAGAGGCTCCAGGAGGCCCCCGGATTGTGAGTGTTGTGTGGGTGTGTGTGTGTGATGTGTGCTCTGTGTTGTGCGTGCTTATTGTGCGTTGTAGGTGTTGTGTATGTTATGTTTGTCTAGCGTGTGATGTGTTGGGCGTGATTTGTGTCTCTGTGTGTGCATGTAGTTCTGTGGCCCCGCCTTCCTGTGCCCTGTCTCCCTAATTAAAGCTGTGCGTAGCCCGCTTTTAACGGAAGAGGTTCGCTCTCGCCCCGCAGATCAAAAAAGTGTGCATGTAGTTCTGAGGCCCCAGGAGGCCCCAGGAGGCCCCAGGAGGCCCCAGGCGGCCTCAGGAGGCCCCAGGAGACCCCAGGAGGCTTCAGGAGGCCCCAAGAGGCTCCAGGAGGCCGCAGGAGGCCTCAGGAGGCCCCAGGAGGTCTCAGGAGACCTCGAGGAGGCTCCGAGGCGGGGTCTGGGGTACCAGAAGGTTCAGAAAGCCCTAGGAGGCCCCAGGAGGTTCCAGGAGGCCCCCAGGAGGCTCCGAGGCGGGTTGTGGGGTACCAGAGGGTACGTCGGGGCTCGATTTTGGCAGGATTTTTCAGGCGAAACCGCCATTTTCTAAGAATCGGGATCAAAAGTATTGAAATTATCATGTGTGTTTGAAGGTTTTATGTTAAAACGTTGAAATTCACATGTGTTGTTGGACCCTGACGTCACGATCTGCGTGAGGGGTGCCACCGATTTTCAGAATTTCGAGGATGTCCCTAGCGAAACGGCCAGACAAATCGCGGACGCGGCGCCCCGCGTACGCATTAATCGCCTCTGAGCTCTACTCCCTCGGAGAGGTGCGTATGAGAATATCTTTTATATCTATATTATATGTATATATATACATATATATACATATGTATTGCATGTAGTAGATTGCGGCACACAGGTAACACCACATGGATTGCACAACATATGCTGGACCACTTATATTATGCCACATACGTCATGTCACATGGTTTGCACCGCGTGGCTTACACCGCATAACTGGAATATGTTGCACCACTCAAGTTGCGCCACATAGTTTACGCCTCACAGCTCACACCACATGGATTACATGACAGATTGCACATCAAGTGCAACCTCTCGCAATGTTGGCGCCCACGCTAGCTGCCTACCTCTATATGAACATGATGAATACGCCTGTACGTGTATATGTGAACATAAGTGGTCACCTTCCCATGGCTGAAGCAGGTCACACCCATGATATACGTTCTTGCATATCGCGCAGCAGATGGCACAAAACAATGTTAACCCTAAGGACGTCAGCAAGTGCCCGCCGCCATGCCAACCGCACGCTGAAGCGTGTTGGAAAAAAATGCGAGGTTGGGATCCTGCCATCAGCTGCCCAGGGATGCCGCTGACTCGATGCGCACCCGTGTTGGAGACATATTGGCAGCAGCCGCGATAGTCCTCATCGCGTTCGGGGGGCAGCCGTGGGATGCAAACGAACCGAATTGGCCACGGCAGACGAACGAGGCGGGCGGAAAGGGGAGTGAGCACGTTCAAGGCGTGACGTTCGTAAACGTGTGAACCAGAGCACGTGCACAGCGAAGATGTGGAGATCCTTGGAGAAGCGGAACTTGAGCCGACCCGTGTCGGAGACAACCCCCAGCCATTTCCTGACTGGCCCCGCTCGACCACAGACAGCGCCGAGACGCCCAGGGGCCGGCCGCAACAAGCCGGCTGCAAGATGTTCCAGGATGAGCCCAAGACGGGCAGCAGGACACGACGTGTCCTCAAGAGGCCCGAACGAGCGCCATGAAGCCCCCGAGAGGGTCTCAAAAAGATCCATGGCTCCGAGAGGCCGCGCACAAACGCGAGGAGAGATCTCAGATGGTTCAGCGTTGTCTCCGTCTCACGCCTTTTCGGCTCACGGCCTCAGGACGACTTCAGGGGGCTCCGAGAGGACCCCCCAAAACTGGCCCAACACGGCCACGAGAGAGCCCGAAAGCGGTCCGAGGACCCCAGGAAGGCCCCGACTGGCCTCCGCGGGAGACTCTGAGAGGCCCCCTGAGGCCCCCAAGCGGCCACAAGAAGCCCCTGAGAAGTCCTCAAGGGGCAGCGCGCATCAACCGTGCCATGGCACGGCCACGGCACGCTTTGGCACCGTCAGCGCTCTCCAACGGAGGATCCCCGGATGGCTCAACCGAGCCTGTTGTGAGTCCATAGTTGGACAAAACTCCCCAGCGCGGATCTCCAGAAGATCCGCTCGGAGCTCCGAAAGATACGATGTGCAATCTATTATTATTATGTTTCCTCTTCTTATTCTTCTTATTATTCTTCTTATTATTATTATTCTTCTTCTTCTTCTTATTTTTTTTCTTCGTCTTATTATTCTTCTTATTATTTTTATTATTATTATTATTATTATCCTTATTCTTCTTCTTCTTATTCTTCTTCTTCTTCTTATTCTTCTCGGGAGTCCCGACGCCGCAAGAGCACCGCGCGAGCCAGCGGGGGCCTCACCGCATCGCGGCTTCCCCCGGAGCCCCCTCGGGGCGGGCTCGGCAGCCCCATCCCCCCTACACGGTCCGACGCTGCTCGGGCACACACGACTAAACATGTCGCTGCGCGTCCCCGTGCACACACACACACACACACATACAGTCGGGGCGTTGACCTAAGGAACCCTGAACAAGGAACGAAGTCCCCCTTTTCCATAAAGTACTCTTCAGTTTCCCGTCGAACGCATCAGGAAAACCTGAGGCAAGCTGTGAAACAATGAAGGAACACGGAGCCCCTCCCCAACGAGAAAGGTTCCTTCTTCAGCGACCCGACTGTACCCACACTTGAACGTCGGCGGCTGGGCAGAGGTTACTACTCGGGCGATCGGGCATCAGTGGGGCGCGCAGGATGAAAATTGGGCCGCGGTGCACGGGGGAGAACACACACGCACCCTTTTGGGTGATCGCCGCCTCGCGCGCGGCGACGAGGCGAAGCGCGCGCGCCGTCCAGGCCAGCATCGCTTAGGATGCAACCTACCAGCATCGGCCATCGGGGCGTGGACGGCAGGGAGGGAACACGCAAGGCCGTGGGAAAGACTCGCCACAGCAACAAGAGAGATGACACACGCGCTTGCATGGCACACAGGTCGGAGAATGCATCCCTCCTCTCCGAGACTCGTGCGCTGCAAACTCTTCGCGCTGGGCGCTTGCGCCTGGTCTCGGGACCCCTAGACCAGCACAGATCGATCGGGCTCGAACATTTGTTTTGATTCGCGGGTCGAGAGCGCACCTCCTCCGGTCGAAGCTGAGCGGGCCGCGCGAAGCCTGAAGTAACAGAGAGGGGGGGGGACGTCGGGCTCGAACAGACACCACAAAAAGATCGGGCACGGGGCTCTGGTGGCGATGCTCCGCGATGCCGCACGAGATTCTTGTTGTTTTGGTCGCGGGCGGACGCGGATTCGCAGTCGCCGAGCTGAGAGGTCTGAGCCACGGGCCTGTCACCGCATGAGATTCGCAACGTCGGAGATCAGGGCCGTCCACCTCCTCGACTCCTCCTTCGTCCCCTCCTCCCCACACGCCCTGCAAAAGAGCGCACACCCGACGCAGGCGAACGCGCTCGGCTCCTCTGAAGGAGAACTGGGACACACAAACAGATAGACACTAATAACCAGACTCCCCATACTTTCTCATACTTTCTAGGCTTTTGTCTTCCCTCCCGCTTCCCATATTTTCCCATATTTTCCTGGGGATCGACGATTAACTGTGTCTGTGATTTTTGTTTCCTCCTGATCCTCGCGCAAGCGAAGCGGGACGACACCGCGTGCCTCCGCACGTACGCATCCGCCCTCCCAAACCGGGCGCTCGGCGCATCCTCTGCGCAGGCACGACCCGGCCACTCTCAACGCTGCGCCCGCCTGCCGACACGGAGCAGACGGGCTCTACTAGGGGAACAAAAAGGAGGAGGAGGAGGAGGAGGAGGAGGAGGAGGGAGGAGCACGAGGGAGGGAGGAGGAGGAGTTGGAGGAGGAGGAGAAGGAGGAGGAGGAGGGGAGAGGGCGCTCACAGCACGGCGGGCGCCGATTGCAAGGAGGCTCCATAGGAGATATCTAGGGGAACAGAAAGTGGCAGAAACACAACAACTCGGAGGTCCGCGCGGATTTCTCGGATCGGCGCTGGGGCCCCCCTCCCTGGCGCGCGGAGCGCGCCAGGGGCGGCGCCGGAGGCGCCGCCGCGCTCCGCGCGCCAGGGAGGGGGGCCCCAGCGCCGATCCGAGAAATCCGCACGGACCTCCGAGTTTTCATGCTTATGTCAGTTTTTGTTCCCCTATCTACACACCAAGCGGAGTGGCAGATGTGCATGGCAGCGCACATGACAGGCCGAAGAGCACAACGGTATGAAGGTCACGCCCGTCGGACGACCCCATCCGCACTGCTGTTGTTGGAAAGACTGAAGGGGCCCACAAACACACACACACACACACACTTAGATAGACACAAATAACAGGATTCCCCCTATTTTCCTATACTTTCTGGGTTTCTGTCTTCCCCCCCGCTTCCCATAGTTTCCCATATTTTCTGAGGAATCGACGATGAACTGTGTTTGTGTGTTTTGTCCCTCCTGAAAGACGACGCGTGTGCCATCGATAATATGTCCCCCATCCAGCACATCTGGTGCACAGCTTCCCCCACACTGCAAGAAAACGCTAGCTGGGAGCAGGTTCGCGCGCGCGCCTTCTTCTCCTCCGCTGCCGCGGGTGCGTCGCCTCCTCCGCCGCCACCTCCGCCGCCTCCACCGCCGCCACCTCCGCCGCCGCCACCGCCGCCGCCGCCGCCGCCCATCTTGACAAGGGCGTCCATGCCGTACGTCTTGATCATCTCCCCTTCCCGCACTGGCTTACCCCAGGCAGGTGCACAGGAGGATGGGAAGGGAGACTGGGGCATAGGCAAGAGAGAAGAATCAGAAAGCGAAATGGAAGTAAGAGCGAGGGCGAGATGGAAGAGACCGAATGGAAAAAAACGAGATGCTTGCCCGTGGTTTGAAACTGCTTTGACTTCAAAGCAGCCAGCTGCTTGCTGTCTGCCCTTAGTTGAAAGTCACATTCCTCTGCGCACCTCCGCATTCCATAAGAAGCCAATACCAGACGCAAGGAAAAATATTCAAAAAGCGCTTCCCACGTTGCTCTGGACGCCTTTCCACACACGACTAGCCCACTTAAGGTACGTGCTCTCCCATTAAGCCTAGCCTCAGACAGCCAACTACTGTTCGCGATGCCAATGTATGATCTGAGAGGAAGACTGGCAAAAGCTTGGGGTATCGGAGAGGGCAGCTGGAGCGACTGCGCGCAGTCCACCTTCGCTGCGAGGCCTAGAGTAGCATGGCGAAGACGAAGCAGGATGAGGATCAGGACGCCGGGGACAGACTCCAGGTCCCGGGTCTCTAGCGAGCTTGTCGTCGTGAAACTCCACGGCGCCCCAAATGGTCAAGTCTGAGAGCCGGGGCGAGCGAACAGAGCCAGAGGAAAGAATCGACCCTCGCGCGGGGTTCTGCGCGCGGCAAACCCACCCGTGTCCCTCTGGATGCTACTGATTGAGGACTTGCCCCAGAGGGCTTGACCCCGAAAATCTCCCAGGTAATTCCGTTCCCACACCAGGACGCCTTCGCCATCAGCATCGGGACGTAGCCCTCCACTTGAACGCCGGCAGCCTTGACGAGGTTCGCCATGCTAGCAGCATCCACTGGGGGCTCTCTTTGAGACATGCAACCACTGGTGATCAAGAACCAGAGTCGCACGGCATCTTTTCCTCATCCTCATCCTCCTCCTCCTCCTCCGCCTCCTCCTCCTCGTCCTCCTCCCCCTCCTCCTACCACTAATAACTCCTCCCTGCCGCACCCAGAGGCCAGTCGGAAGGGCAGGCCAGGCGCTTCGCAAGAGCCTTCCTCACCATTTACGACCCTGAAGCTGAAACTTTGCAACAGTTTAATGAATGGATGGCGGGCGCGTTCAAAACGTGGCCCACGTCTTAGCGCCGCGCACATCCGTCGTAAAATGTTGCAAGAGTTTCACGGATTGACGACAAGCGGTTCTAAAAATGTGGCTCTCGCCTTGGCGCCGCGCACATCCGTCTTAACATCTCGCAAGAGCTTCTCGGATGGAGAGCGGGTCGTTTAAATGTGGCTCTCGCCTTATCGCCACGCACATGTTTCACAACAAACTGCAAGAGATGCACGGATGGATGGCGGCTCCTCTTCAAAATGTGGTTCTCGCCTTAGCGCAGCGCACATTCGTCTTACAGAATGCAAAAGCTTCTCGGATGGAGGGCGGATCGTTTTCAAAATGTGGTTATCGCCTTAGCGCCCCGCACATTCGTTGTAGGAGCTTGAAACAATGTCAAAGGTTATCACGGATGACGTCCCAAGTTTGGTGTTGTGGCACGATGTCGGAGCGTCATGGCGCAACAGTTACGTTAATTCGTAGCGTTTAATTCCCACATATGGTCTTTTGGCACAATTCAGGATCGCCAAGAAACAATAGTGGTGATTCGCGGCGTTGAGCTGCCATTAATGGTGTTCTGGCAGAACTTAAGATTTTCTGACGGGTGTTTTCCAACGGGTCACCTTCTCCTGTGAAATGTACCCTTGTAGGGGGCCTACGGAGAGGGACCGTGGAGAGAGGGTGTATCACAACATCGTTGAAGAGGCTTGGGTTTATACTTATCTTCTTCCTCCGCCTCCTCCTCCTCCTTATCCATACCTTGCTCCTCCTCCCCCAATTGAATTCCATGGCACTCTTTGCGTTGCCTGCCTGTGGTGAGCGCTTTCCTTCGTCCGTCGAACGGGGCTGTTGCGGCCTGGACAGGTTAGAGATCTAGCGTCTGGCGGCAGGAGGGAGTAGGGGGAGGGGAAAACCAGGACGATCAAGACGACGACGATGGTGGATCCATCGGCGGACTCAATGTACTGCCTTAAAAGTAGAAGGCCCACCAGAGTCGAACATGCTGGGCCATTGCCTGCTTCTTGAGCCGATCTTCACTGTAGCGCAACGTGCATCTGAGACTCCACGATCTGAAATTAAGCACAACAATACAGCGGAGGCCAGTCCACGAGAAACCTTCCACAAGAAACCCAGCACTGAGACCCCAGGACGCCCATGGATTTTTGGTGTGGGAACGTCACGCTTTCCACCGCAAGACCCTCGAAACCCAAGAAACCCAGGGCACCCTGGAGGCAAGCAGGGTGCTTCTTGGCACGGGCCCCCCTGTGGAACTCGAGGCGTCTCGCAGGGTCGTGGCCACCATAGCGATTTCGATCACACACTGTGCGGGCAGGTTGGCATCAGAGATATTGGCGTTCGTTGGACAACGAGGGCTTTTGGACAGCGCGCGTGGCAGGTGCTCGCCCACATCTCCCCAACAGTCCACACGCAGTCGCACGATCGATCCCCCTCGAGCGCTGGGATAAAAAATCTGCATCGCACCTGCAAGATCGAGCATCAACGACCGCAAGGATGCAGCATCTCTCTCTCTCTCTCTCTCTTTCTCTCTATCTCTCTCTCGCCCTCTCCCTCGCTCTCTCTCTCTCTCTCGCGCTTCCTTTTTTTTCTCTTTCTCGTTCTCTCTCTCTCTCTCTCTCTCTTTCTCTCTCTGGCAATCCCATCATCGATCCAGCAACAAGGGGGAGAAAGGAAGGGAGAGGCAGTGGGCAGGTGTGGAGGAGGGGGGGGGGGCGAAAAGGGAAGGAAAATCCGGGAGGGTGTGCCAGCCCGGAGCCCGGGCCCCCGTACTCCGACATATGGTGTGTAAATGTATACATGTATAGCGATATGTATATTATACAGATATACCTTTATGCATATATATATAGATGTGCATGAGAATATGTACGCGTAGGTAACTATCTCTATGTGAAACGAATAATATGTATACACATATGTGTGCATACCTATATATACACACACATCCCTATGCATACAAACGTACATATATATACATACATATGTATGTATACATATATATAGATATGTACACGTATGTGTGTGAATGTCGGTACATGTACAGTTATGTATATGTATGTGTCTATGTGTGTGTGAGGTTGTGTGTGTATGTATGGTTGCATGCGTGTATGTATGTATGCATGCATGCATGGATGGATGGATGGATGGATGTATGGATGTATGGATGTATGGATGTATGGATGTATGGATGTATGTATGTATGTATGTATGTGTATGTATGTATGTGTGCATGCATGTGTGTATGTATGTATGTATGTATGTATGTATGTATGTATGTATGTATGTATGTATGTATGTATGTATGTGTATATGCATAGTCGTGTATGCCTATCTCTCCTTTCTCTCTCTCTCTCTCTCTCTTTTTCTCCGTCTCTCATTATCTGTCTCTCTCTCTCTCCTCCACCCTTTCTGCGGCAACTAATGGGAGCCTCCCATACCGTCTTGTTGGCTCTTACGAATCGACGTTAATCGAAGCGCGTCGACGCTAAACCTACGCTAATCGACGATACCTCTCCGATTACCAAGCGCTAATCGGCGCTCACGCGCTCAAAAAACAAAACCGCGAGGGCACACAAGCTCTCGTAATTTGCTACCAAAGGAGGCCGCTTGTGTTACATCTCTGGGGACAGTGTCTGTCCCAGCGCGCCGCGCTCCGCGTCGAAACCGTACAGAATCCGTGTCGCGCGCGTCGAATCCGTTTCGCACCCGTGTCGAATCTGTGTCGAATCCGTGCCGAACCCACGGCGAATCCACAGCGAATCTGCGTCGAACCCACGTCGGAGTACGTGATTCGCTTCTGAACTCTCTCTCTCTCTCTCTCTCTCTCTGCGGGCATGCCCTGCGCTGCGTGTGCGCCTCGTGCCGCCACGGGTCGCGCGCCCCCTTGTCTACGCCGTCGGCACCCAGACCACCGCGCGGCCACGGCAGATCCGCACACCTAGACAAGCGTCTTCCACTGCTCGCAGAGCAACTGCCCACAAGTGGCGTAGGTCCGCCGCCGGTGGATTCACGATCCGTCGCATCGAGGCGAGCATGTTTTTCTTCAGACGTTTGCGCGTAGGCACTCTGCGAACAGTGGAACGCACTCGGTGACACCGACTAGCCCATACCCCCGACGTCAGGGCTGGTTCACAGCGTCGACCCGAAGAGATCTCGATCCATTCCCTGGCACCTGCTGCTGTTCACGAGTCGGTGTTTTGAGGGTCCCGAGGCCCTGCGAGGGCCCCCCGAGGCAGGAAACTTGCCTTTTATATCAGCGGGCGCAAATGTGCGGAAGAGGTCAGGCGCTGGTCATGCTAAATGTGGGCAATACTCATATCCACATCCAGTGTGTCTTGGACTTTCTCGGAAGGGGCGCCGCAAGGCCGAGGCGCACTGGATATGGATAAAAGACCAGCCTCTGGGGGCCAGAATTCTATCCATAACCAGTGCGCCTCGGATTTCTGGGGGAGAGAACCCGAGACTCCAAGCTGCAGTGGATATGGGCACAAGTCTTGCCCGCACCAAAGGCGGAGCGCGCCGAAGCTACGTGGGGCACGGTGGAGAAAAGACCGAGCAGAGGCGAGCACAGAGCCGCTCAGATCGCACAGCCCGAAGGGAAACAGAACAGCACGAGGCACAAAAAAAGCAAGCAAGCACGGGCAGACAAAAACTGGCAAACACACACACACACACACACACACTCAGGGCAATCCTCCCCACAAAAGAAACGTCAGCCGTGATTGTTCGCGACCCGAAGGGGTCTGGGATGAGGTCGGGCCTGTCCCCCTGCAGGCGGATTTTGGACGAAAAACAAAAACAGTACCCCAAAATACACCGAGAATACCCACAAATGGTCCAAAAATCGTCCCCAGACCATTCTTCCACCATCTTTGCCTATTCCCCCCTGTAGAGGGACAGGCCCGACCTCTAAGTCTGGGGAGCTCTCGCTCTGACGCCACGATCGGCAATACTCCGGCTGCGGCCGCGGCCCTGCGGGCGAGAGGCAGGGCTGAACCTGAACGGTGCCTTTCGCTCTCGCCTTGTCTTCGCTCTCCCTCGCTTCCGTCTCGAAGCCGCCTCTGCCGCAAAACGAAGCCGAAACGAAAACGGCCCACTGCGGGCGAGAGGCCTTCGGCGCCGTCGTCGTGCAGGATCAGCGCGGCGTACGTGCAGGCGAGCTCGTCCTGAGCGCCGCCGGCCGCGGGCGCGCCGGTGGGCGCGGCCGCCCGCCGGCACCCCTCCAGGCAGGCCTTGAGCTGGATTGACGTCGGGCCTGTCCTCCTACAGGGGGACGCTGGACGACAAGAATAAAAGACAGTCAAAACATATACCCCAAAATGGTCCAAAAATACTCAGAAGAGCGTCCCCACACTATTTTATATACTATTTGTTACTCTTTTCTGTAGAGGGACAGGCCCGACTTCCTGGACGACAAATAAAAAACAGTCAAAGACTCAAAAAATCGTCCCCTGACTATTTTTGTTACTATTTTTGACTACTCCTCCTGTAGAGGGACAGGCCCGACCGAAAGCTAGATCGGATCACGACCTTGCTTCTCGCCGCCGAACTTCCTCCGAACTTCTTCCGAGCTTCGGGATGCCAGCAACGTTGCACTTGAGCCCTGTTAGAACACTGGCCTCGCACTCTCTCCGAGCCTAGGACACTCCAGCACAAGGACCGTTCGCGCCCCCTCGGCCTGTTACGACTCCAGGCAGGCTCGAGCTGCATCGGACCTCGGCGCGGAAGCGAGCCCGACCTCCGGGTCGAAGCGCCCCGGCCCGAGTCCAGATCGGAGCGCCGCGCCTGGCTCCGGCTGGCGCCAGCCGACGTCGGTGAATCGAGCCAAGCCGAATCGAATCCCCACCCAGAGGGTAGGAGGAGGAGGAGGAGGAGGAGGAGGAGGAGGAGGAGGAGGAGGAGGAGGGGGAGGAGGGGGAGGGGGAGGAAGGGGAGGAGACCAAAGGGTACCGATACCGCCACACTAGCTGGACCTCTCCCAGGGTGCGTCCTGACCAGAACTTCGAGGCGGATGCAGCGGTGGCGGCGAGGGCAGCCCAGGAGGCCGAAGAAGGGGGAAACGAGGAAAGGGTGGAGGTATGGGTACCTTTCCCTCCTCTGAGCCCCAGCCAGCGAATCGAGTCGCATCGAATCTGGAGATGGTGGCGACCGCTGGTGGTGGTGGTGGCGGCGCTGTCGCTTCTCTCTCAAACGAGCCCGTGGCCACAGGGCGTCCCCAGAGAAGACTCCAGGGGGAAACCCAGGAGGGGGTTGCAGAGCAGGGCGGCGCCATGGGTTGCCAGGAGTGGTCCTGGCCAGAGATGCCCACGGCCGTTTTAAAACCGCTTTCGGGGCCCCTATGAGAGCCTCTTGGCCTCGCGAGGGGTGCTCTGGAGACCACCTGAGCCTCCCTCGAAAGCAGGGGTCACCTCTGGGGCGGCAGAGAACGAGCAACAAGCTTCCCGCCTTGCAACCGCTAGCGATAGCCCCGACCGTTTCCGATCGAAGGCGTCGAATGAACAGCAGCTCCAAGACACGTGGACACGGACTGGGTGAGACCTCTTGCGCATTGCACTCCTAAAATGCCAATCGCCTGGACTTGCGCGACACTCTCCAGAACTCTCCCTCTCGGGTATGGGCGGTGAGGAGCTCTCAAATCTGACTCGACATCTCGACACGCCTGGGAGCTCTCATTCCGCATTGGAAAGGCACGGTAGGGGAATCGAAGGGCGCAATGACGCTGTCCCATAACCCCACTGCACTCGGGGCTGCAAAGCATTGAGCCTTCTCGCCCAATGCTACCACTGCGCCGCGCCTGCCGCCGCCCGAACATGCTCCTCTTCCTCCTCCTCCTCCTCCTCCTCCTCCTCCTCCTCCTCCTCCTCCTCCTCCTCCTCCTCCTCTTCATCTTTCTCCTCCTCCTCCTCCTCCTCTTCCTCCTCCTCATCATCATGCTCCTCTTCCTCCTCCTCCTCCTCATCATCATCATCATGCTCCTCTTCCTCCTCCTCCTCCTCATCCTCCTCCTCTGGCCTCAACGATTTCGGAACGGGCCGAGGATATCGCCCATCGCACCTGCTCATCCTCGTTCTCCTCCCCCTCCTCCTTCTCCAAATTCAGCTTACGATGTCACGGTTTCACGCATAGGGTTCAAGTCAAGCTTGCTTCGCTGGCACCTACCAACTCTAGCTCCAACTCCTCATCATCATACTCCTCCTCATCATCATAATAATCCTCTTTCTTGTCCTCGTCGTCCTCCACGCCTCCTCTCCGCCCAGTCCCCGTCCCTGATCGCTGAACACGTCCCTGCCTCAACGAAACGGCTCGATGCCAGGAGCCCGCCTCGAGAGGCGGCAACAACAAATACCTCCGTAGAGGGGACCTGCCGAGCGTCGAAAAGGGTGGCCACCACACCACAGGAGGCGGGCGCGCCGGGAAAGCATTGGCGCACCGGGGAGTGGGGCGCGCACCTTGCTCTGAAAAGAGAGAGTCAGGCGAGCGAGTGATGGGAAAGAGATGGAGAAGGCCTTCTCAGAAGGCGTCGGGGCTTCTCGGAAGCCCTCGCGCCTTCTGAGAGGCTGTTTGTCTGCGGAGAAGGCTTCGAGGCCTTCTCGGAAGGCCGGGGGACTTCCGCACCTTCCGAGAAGGCCTGCTTCTTCTCGCTCTTTCCCCTCGCTAAGCCGCCGAGAGTCGGGGCCCCGTAAACCAGGACATCGCTGACCATGGTTCTGCCAGATCTGGCGGGGGATAGCGAAGAGTGGAGAATGTTCCACCCCGCGGTGGCACTGGCTCAGGGCTTAGAATTCTACTTCACGGGTCCTTCGGTTGCTAAAAACCGGCGGGGCGGGCTAAGAAATAGATTATTCCGCTGTAAGAGAAACCCCTCCCAACGCGCCGACTTGTGTTGGTGGACGCCAACTCTCAGCCCGAAACACTGGACGCTGGACTCCGTCTCCCAGGGCATGCCCCCCAGACGCCAGCCCCACTAGTCATGCGCCAACGCCCGATTCGCCATGTGGAAAACAATGTAAGAAAGTATGGGTTCGCCTCTTCTGCGTTGCTCCTCCTGGTGCGACGCCACGTGACGAGGACAGTGGGTTCCGCTCGTTCCGAATCCTGCTCCCGCTGCAGCGCTGGCCTCATTTCCGCGCTTCCACTCGTTTCGACTCATGCTCCCGCTGCAGCGCTGGCGTCATTTCCCGTGCCATGCCACGGCATGCAATGCAATGCTAGGCTGATGCTACGCTTTGCGGTGCTCTTCTACGCCATGCCATGCCGTGCTCTACAATGCATCGCGTACCCTTTCGGGATCATTGCCCTGCTCGACATCCGACTGAGCGAGTAGAGAGGGGATCTGCGCCATGGTAAGGGATGGGAGGGAGGGGTAGGATGTCAGATATGACGCGAGCGCACCTAGCTTGTCCTCCTCACCTCCTCCTCCTCCTCCTCCTCCTCCGCCACGGGTGTGCCTGACCCGAGACGTCCCCGGCTTCTCGCTCCATGCTGAAGCCTCAAGGTTCCTCTGGGCCTCGTGGGAATGCCCTGGAGTTTACGAGGGGGGCTCACTGGAGATCCTGAGGAGGCTTCGGGCCAGGGACACCTCCAGCGACTTTCCCGAACCCTCATCACATCAGGAGACCGACAAGAGGAGGAGGAGGAGGAGGAGGAGGACGAGGAGGACGAGGAGGAGGAGGAGGAGGAGGAGGAGGAGGAGGAGAGATCCCATGGTCCTGCTGCTCCTTGGAGAGGTCCCCGACAGGGCAGCTGGCCATTGGCGCTAAAGGCGGCCGTGGATACCTCACTAGACAGGGACACACCAGTGAACCGAGCCGGCTCAGCGGAAGAGGGGCCAACGGGCTCTGCTGGACCAAAGCTCTTCACCTCCTCCTGCCTGCACACTGCCTCTCATCCGATGACCAATCGTATCGCACTGGCACAACCAAGACACAACTACAGCAGTAGAGATGGACGGGCTGAAAAAAAGCCATACCGTCCAGACGACGAGCCGACACGGCACGCACCCACGGGCACGCACGTCGCACACTGCTGCGCTGCTGCGGCAAGACGACTCCCTGCTATGCCATCACGACGTGCTCGAAAGACACCCAGGAGTGTCGTAAAGGCCACACCCCAGACTGTTCAGGAGGGCCCCAAGAGGCTTAGGTCGGGTATGTCCCCCCACAGAGGGATTATGGAAGAACAATAAAAAATACTTTTTAAAAAATACCCCCCCACTGGTCAAAAATAGTCGAAAAGTCGTCCCCAAGCTACTTTTTGACTATTTGCTCTAATATTCCACGTGTAGAGGGACAGGCCAGACCCCAGACTGTGCAGGAGGGCCCCACGAGGCCCCAGGAGGCCCCCGATGCCTTGAAGGGGGTCCCGGGAAAGGCAAGCAGGGAGGCACCCTCTGTCGGGCAGGAGCCCGGCCTGGAGCGGAGCCAGGGCGGTGGGCACCGCGGCGCCTCGGTGCACGGTGCTCCCCTCGCGAAGGCATCCTCAACAGGCGAGGGGAAGAGAGAAGGAGAAGGAAGGGCGAAGGCAAGAGAAGGAGAAGGAAGGGCGAAGGAAAGAGAAGGAGGAGGAAAGGATGCAGCACACTCTGAAGACTAGGGTCCCAAGATAGGCCAAGGAGCGGACCCGGGAGACTGGAAGAGAGAGCGAAGGGTCCGCGGCGTCGGGAGGCCGAGGGCCAAGAGGGCCTGGCGTATGCAGCAGGCAGCGCGAAACATGCTGCTTCGGGGGAATGAACGGCCCCGAGAGAGCCAGAAGAGAGCCCCAAGACGGTTCCAAAAGGGCACCGAAGGGCCCTGGAGGATGCCCACAGACGTTCTGGGAGAAGCATTGGAACTTGTTTGGCTGATACGTTTGGTGCTACTGCCTCCTATCATATGACGTGCTGGGAAGCCGAAACAAGACGACCCCACTTGGTGAAAGCCTGGAAAATGGATTGTACATAAGCCCATGTACGCCCTGACTCTGCTGTATGTGTCTGGTCCAGTGTAGCTTCACGCATGTCTTCCTTGCAGGCGGCAAACGCACAAGCTCGTGCACCGCGCCGTGCATCTATGCATAAGACTGGGTGAATGCACTTGAAGTGCGCAGCTAAATCATGTCTTCCCCATGAGGTCGTATCCTCTGGTGGCAGTTCACATGCTGCTCGTCCTGGCACTGCTGTGTACGACAG